TTATTATTTAAATATTTATTAACTATTTCAGTTAATTTTGCATATGCATGATGTTCTGCAGTCATCTTTAAGTAATATAAGAAAAGTGCCATGTTATGGAACGATCTCCCCGCAGAGATCCGGACCCTTCCCACTCTCTCGGCCTTCCGAAAAGCCACTAAAACCTGGCTGTTCCGGCAGGCCTGGGGCTGTTGACCCCAAAATACGGCCCATCCCCATCTAGAACTGAGTGCATGGAATGTTGTTTTTAAATCTATCTTTTCTTTTCCTTATATTTTCGTTTCAATTTTATTTTGTATTGTAAGCCGCCCGGAGTCCTACGGGATTGGGCGGCATATAAATGTTATTAAATTCAAATTCAATTCAAATTATATCTTATTGTTATTTGTATTCTCTTTGTTCATTGAATTTTAGTTGGTATTGCTGGACTAAGACTCTTACAATTTACTATTATTACTACTATTACTGTCACCTCACCACTCAATATTTGAATTTTTTTTTATGAAGAAAATGTTTAGCATTGTGTTGGCAGCTTGTGGGCTTCAGAAGTATGTGATTGTAGAAGAAACTGATAAATCATAGTTAAATAGCAGGTTTGTTTTTCCTTTTCTTGATTTCTAGCAACCTATCAAATTGTCAAGCATCATATCAGAGAAGGCTGTTGGTGACAAGGTCGGGACGAAAAATAAAAGGAAGGGGACCAAGGGTATATTTACTTTTTACAGTTTGATTTCTTTGATCTTTGGCTTTTAATAAACCGTGATTTAGTTGTGTGATATCTGTCTGTCTGTCTGTCTGCCTATCCATCCCAAGGCTAGTAGACTTAGCAAACAAAATTCAGCATTTTGCATTTAAGTATCATGCTAAGTTTGGATATCAAGCCATAATGAAGCAATACAAGTAGTCCTCAACTTATAACAGTTCACTTAGTAACTGTTCAAAGTTACAATAGCACTGAAAAAAATTGAGTTATGACTGCTTTTCATATTTACGACCATTGCACATTGTAGCATCCCCATGGTCATGTGATCAAAATTCAGATTTTTGGCAACTGACACAAATTTATGATGGTCACATTGTCCCAGAGTCCTGTGATCCCCTTTTGTGACTTTCTGACAAGCAAAATCAATGGAGAAGCCAGATTCACTCAGCAGCAGTGTTACTAACGTAATAACTGCAATGATTACCTTAACAGATTTGGCAAGAAAGGTCATAAAATGGGACAAAACTCACTTAACAAATGTCTCATTTAGCAACAGAAATTTTGGGCTCAGTTGTGGCCATTAGTTGAGAACTGCCTGTATGTATTTGCAGGTTGGTTAGCATATAGTGATTTGTACAGCAAGCTGATATTGTGGCAAAATATTGACCTTAAATTGGGATGCATTAGTCTCCCGATGAGGGAGACATCAAGTATGAACATGTTTTATTGCTAATTTTTTCTGTTCTCCACTAATTGACTGCCTTCTGCCAAGGCTGTTTTGTAGTGCCATTAGAAGACTCCCACAAACTCATTAATGTTCACTAGCTTTGTTGGTCAAAGATTTGCTAAGGAAAAGCTCCTGACTCTCCCATAATCCTTACTCCCAAAGAACCCAATTTTTAAAGTCTTTTATTTCTGTTTCAAGGATCAAATGTTTAGAACTGAATATGGCATAGCTCTAGTAAAAATAATTGTAAAATTAAACAGTAAACTTATACATTGGCTTCTTTCAAATGAGAATTATAAAAACATATCAAAAAGAAAATAATATAATTTGTTAAATAACATAGATTTGATAGATTCTGCATACCATTCAGTATGCAGTAACACATAAGAAAATAATTCCTTTTGTTGTTAGATGCGAAAGTTATTATAGCAAGGCACTGGAAAACTGAAAGACAGGTATTTAAAAGTGAGAAATCACTTTGATTGAAAAATAAATACAACAGTAAAATTTAAGGATTCTGTTAATTAAAAACTGCTTACACTAACTGATTTCTACTTAGTTATATAAATAAAGTTTAGCAATAGATTAGCTCCATTTGTACAAATGTGGATTTGGAAAATAGTATGGATGTTTAACTGTGAATGTTGATACAATAAAACCACAATTCCTCAGGTGCAACTGATAAAATTTTACATCAGATGTCATCTTCACCAAGAAAGTTTATTATTTCCATGGCAGTTTGGACATTTGATATCATTTATATTATTTACATAAGCATTAATTGACATTTCCTGTATCAATTGTGTTGATTTATCTCACTTGAACATTGAATCAACAAACAATTCTTATCCCCAAATGGTCCATTAGATGAGGTTTTATTATGTTTTAAAATATGTAATTTGCAATCAAATGTATGATGGTTGCTGTACAAATTAGGATCCACATTTTGTTTTATCTAATTTTTCCTTCTGTATTCAAAGCGGTACCGGACACCTTCAAGATCCAGGTCGAGGGATCGCTTTAGACGCAGTGAGACTCCTCCACACTGGAGACAAGAAATGCAGAGAGCTCAAAGAATGAGAGTATCAAGTGGAGAAAGATGGATAAAAGGAGACAAGTAAGATGCACTCAAAGCGGTAGCCATTTCTGTGCTATTTATTTATTTATTAGATTTTTATCTCACTTTCAGTCAGTAGTCAGAGCAGCAATGAAACTCCTGTAAGTAGTGATTTATTTTTCCATTTCCTCTTTTGCTCATGTAGTATTTTGTTAGAAGAAAAAGAAAATAAAACTAATAATCTGCTTAAATGCAAATTAAAACAAGTATAGAGGAGAGGAAAGAAGCAGGTACATGTGCTTTCTTTCTCCACTCTTAGGAAATTCTTCCACAAACATTTTTAGGCGCCTTCATGTCACATTTGACTCATACAGCAGAGTTCTGTAATAGTATGTAGTGTTTTTGATTTAGGGGTATTTCTATCATATGTTAAATGTACCTGCATCTGCATGCAGTTTGCAACGTAAATTCAGATAATGATGTGGGATTATTTCACTAGCTTTATGTTCAAGTTTGTTTGTTTGTTTGCTTGCTTGTCTTGAAGGAGTGAAATGAATGAAAACAAGAAGGATGCTGCAAATCAAAGTCCAGGGAGAGGAAAAGAAAGAAAAATAACTGACCACAGAGTGGGTTCTGAAAGTCCAGATAGAAGAGGAGAAAAAGAAACACAGCCCAAAGATCCCAAATCTGACAGTAAAGACAGAGGGACAAAGCGGAATTCTGAGAAAGAAGATAAGGACAAACATAACAAAAGTAAAGCCAAAAAAAAGGCTAGATCCAAAAGCCAGAGCAAAAGCAAAGAGATATCAAAAAGTAAAGAAAGAGACTCAAAATACAGTAAACATGAAGATAAAAAAATGCGATCGAGAAGCAGAGAAAAAGAGAAAGAAAAATATAATGACTTTCATGGCAGAGAACGGAGCAAAAGCAAGGAGAAGAATAAAAGGGGAAGATCTAGAAGTAATAGCCAGAATCATACCAAAAGTAAAGAGAGGGGAAAACATGAACACTCAAAAAGCAGGGAACGTGAGCAGCCTAAAAACAAACATAGTTCCAATAATAAAGCCAGAGAGCGAAGCAGAAGTGTGGACAGAGGCAAGAGAGCCAGGTCCAGAAGTAAAGAACGAGACCGCAGCAGAAGTAAAGATTATTCCAAACACAGAGATAAAGAAGTGAAAAGAAAAGGAAGATCAAGGAGTAGAGAGAGAAGAGGGACGCCAGAGAGGTCCAGAGAGAAAGACCATAAAAGGCGGAAGGAATCCCATAGCTCTGAGAGGGAAAAAAGTCGAAGTAAAGACAGGCATCGGGATCAAGAGTACAAAAGTTCTCGCAGAAAGGAAGATACTGGGAAAAAGATGCGCTCAAGAAGCCATGACAGCAGCAGCTCCGAGACGAATAAAAGCAAAAAATCCAGTAGAAATCAAGATAGAAGTCCTGACTCAAAGAAAAGAAGAAGCAGCAAGGACAGAGAATTGAAAAGATCATACTCACGAAGGAGTAAAGAAAAGGAAAGGGACAGATCTCGTTCTTCAAGAGAAAAAGAGATCAACCAAAAATCAAAATATCAGGAGAGAGAGCGTGCCCATGGCAAAGATAAAAAATCCGATCATGAATCAAGTGCTGGAACTGATGAAGATAGGCATGGATGAGTTTATGAACTTATTGTTTCCACTCTGCTTCTAGGTTCTAGAGACATGTTGGGGAACATTTTTTTTTTAATGTGGACTTCAGTTTGGTTTTTTGATAATCCACAATCTGGATCATTTGTACTGCTAAAGTTTTAATAAACTTGAAATGGGAAAACAAGTTTTATGTGTAATACAGCGTGCTGTGTTTTAATATTCCATAGTTTATGTATCCTATTTCTATGTTACCTGATGGAAGCATACTGTATGTTTAATTTAATTTTAATTTAGAAGCACACTGCAAATTGGTCAGTTGGTCTGAAATTACAAACATCTTTGAATCAAATTCTTTTTACTTAGATAACATGTTAATACTAAATTATATTAACATTTCAGAACTATAATTAATAAACAAAACCAGCATATATAAAAAAACAGAACATTCAAGTGAAGGACAATGAATGTTCTCCAGTTTGAATATGTTAACTCAGATTGTTACATTGCTGTTGTATTTCATTGTTGTCCCTTTCAGGAAAAGGTTAATCACTTTGATCTTTGGAACAGTTATTTGTTCTGAATGAAATACTTTCCATGAAGCAATTATTTCAGAAATAATTTATTTGTATGGTCCTGATAATAATGAATTTATAGAAAATTCATGTTTAACTGAGTGCATTTTATATGCTGTCTGATTATCTTTTCCTCACTAAATTTGCAGTTTGTTTGAAGGAGAAAATTTCTTTCAGAAAGAAAGAAAATCTGACTTCACTGAATTTATAAGGAAGAAATCTCTTTCATAATTTTGTAATCCTTCCTGAGTGTTAGCTATTGTAAAGGTACCGCATTTTTCTATCAAAATAAATTCCCTTTGAAAAACTGCTATTGCAGATCGGGGGGGGGGGGCTTTCTGGAACAACATGCAGTATAACAGAAAATTGTGCTGCTTAAGAGAATTGTCAAAAATTGAATTTTTACTCCCACCTCCAGTTGCGTGAGTGGAAACCCTTTTTGATAGGAAAAAGGAACCATTGGGTGCATCCCAAAATATGTATAATGTAGCTCACATTTATGTTGTTGGATGAAAAATAAGTAAGGTAGTGTATATACTAATTTTGCTTTCTAAAGCTTCCTAACAGATAGGAAAAAGTGCCACAAAGACTAAAGAAATGACAAAAGTTTAATATATTCATCAGATTTCAACACATATCAGAACAAAACACTGTACGCCTTTTCTTTGTTTATAATAAATGTACTGCATTCCCATACTAGTGCTGCAGATTTCAGTTTGTTCTCTTATCTTGCAGACTTCTTTAGTGACGAGAAGAAAAATAAAAACAAGTTCTATGTTAATTCAGATGTACATAAATATAGGTTTTGGGAAAGTATAATAAGATAATTGAATTTGTTAATTTTTTTCTACGTATATGGACAAAAAAAACCTTTTGTGATACCGTGAACCTGATGACTAAGCAGTCAAGACGTTTTTCCTGTGATCTTTTCAGTAAGGCAGCCATGAAATTGTCTGGGCATGGACTTGGGACTGTTCTCATTTGGGACCAGTATTTGGATCCATTGTAGGAAATGCAGATATGATCTAGCATGGGTTGCTTACTATACCTGTGTCACGCTCATGCTGGATTGGAAGCTCCTTTCCTGCTGTACATTCAAATACTGTTCATCTCTTTGTTTTTACCAAATACAACAGCATGCGTCTGCTATTAAATAATAGTATTTATTGACTACACAATACATCTGTACCCCCTTTTTTATTGTCTTAGATCTCTTTTACAGGGCCATATTTACAAATTGCAGAATGTGTAATATAGTGTTCATTATGGCCTATCTCAGTAATGGCTAAGGTTTTTCTTCTCATGTGCCAAAAACACGTGTGCGCGTGCAACAGCACATGTATACGTGCCCACACCCATAATGCAATGCGCCCTGCACAAGTGTGCGTGAACCCATATGCGCGCGAACCCCCTGCTCCCCATTTTGGGCCTAGCCAGCCTTCTTGAAGCCTCCTGGAACCAAAAATGGGTGCGGGGAGGGGGGTGACACACCCCTCGCGCTTCCCCCCACCCCCTATGCATGCACACGCTTCTCCCGCGTGCACTGCAGAGACCCAAAAATCAGATGGCTGGCAGAAGGAACGTGCGCATGCATGGTGGAGCTGAGCTGGGAGATGGCTTGCATGCTTGCAGAGAAGGCTCTGTGTGCACATCTGTGGCACGTGTGCCATAGATTCACCATCATGGGCTTATTAATATCAAGCACAGTTAGATAATGCAAACCTGGAAAACAATTTCCATGGTATTTAAAGATTGAATATTTAAACTAAGGTGATCACCCGGTTTAAAACTTGAGTTTTACTTTAGTATACAGGTAGTTCCTGTCTAAATTACTGCAATAATATTAAATACAAGACTAATATGTTACTGTTTCAGTTGAGTTTTCTTATTACAAAAGTTGAAAGAATTAGTTTACTTGCCCAATAAAGAAGTGGACAAGAGACAATCAGAAAATTGTTTTGAACTTAAATACCGTGTATCAATCACATTATTCCTCTTAAATGTATAAAGATCCTATCAGATACATAATGATAATCTCTGTAGAGTATAAATGTTCCTAATTGTTGTTTCAATAATCTTTTAGAGGAATTTACCTAGAGGAAAATACTGTTATATTTACCACGTTCTTCCTTGTAAAAACCTATTTTAAATTTATAGTCAAATTTGTGTAAAACTTCATGAAGGTGCCGAGTACCTATGATAGAATAAAATTTAGTCTGGTTTTATATCTGTATTTCTTTCTTGGATTTGAAAGGCCATAATTTACAATTTAATAATGAATCACTGCTAAGAATAATGACTGATCCCAAATTTGGATTGGGACACCCTTATGGCATTACGGTTGTTTCTTTGCTGTGTGCAATGTCCATAAATATAATCCATCCACCTTCCTTTAAAAATATCATTTGTATAATCAATGTTTAATGCACTACATCAAGATCCCAACATTCACCTGTATGTACTATAGTGCTTTATAAGAGTGATGATGCAGGCCAAAAACATAGCAAATAAGATGCAACTGAAGAAAGCACATATTTGCTACGTCTTTGAGATTTAAGAGTCTTTTATCCCATTTCTATATCAATTTGCACATTTTTAAAGTGTACATAAAAACGTACACATTTTCCTGATTATATATGTATTTTTGTAGTATTTTTGCCTAGTATAAATATTTTTGCAAGCAATTTTACCTAATGTGCATTTTGGCATTTTCATAAATGCATGTGCTTTTTGTATACTTACTTGATTGTAGTAACTCCACTGCAAAATTCAGTAAAGTACAGATACAGAGGTAACTGCATTTCTCTCCCCCCCCCCCCCCATAATTCTTTAGGGAATCTTAATGCTGGTGTGCATTAAAATGTGGAAATTTCTCGGTCATACAATTCTGTCGTGCAATAGGAAAGTCCTGAGATTGTTTTTATGATACATAGGCATATGGAACATCTTTACTAACTTAATTGCAGCATCTTTGACTATGTGTGTTTGTGTTCATCAGTTCACCCTAGCTAAGTGTTCGGTTGCACCATTGTAGTCCCCCTCCACCTAACCAGCTGGTCATTAGGGCAAAGAACCGGTTGTTAAATTATTTGAATCCCACCACTGCCTTCAACCTAATATACAGTGAGCTGTTTCACCGCAACAGCAATTCACAAGTTAAGGCTCAGAAGTAATTTGATGCTATTTCTTCGTGGAAAAAATCTCAAATCATCTTATAGAATCTTCCCTCGATTATTGAATCCTTTTATATATGTGAAGTGTTTGTGTTACACTAAGTCATGTCATTCACTATATTTTAAAGTTATGTTGTTACCAATTAAGTGAAATCCTTATGTACCACAAAGTTCCGTCATCATTTATCAAAAACTATTTTCTAGATTGCCCCGTCTCTTAAGTTTGCAAGAGTTTCAAGAAGTTGAGTTACTTGGCTTTTCAGATTGAAAGCACAAAAAGAAAAATATTGTAAATCCTATTTCCCAAAGCCAGTTTGCTGTTATTATATATATATGTCAAGATACTTAATGGGTTAGCAAGAGTCTCACTGGTAGCAACACCTTAGTGTTTTTACATCAGAGTTGAGATGCTAGGGTTGTGTGTTGCTGCAGATTTGTTTCCATCTTTCACCTTGATCACTACTTACATAACTTCTACCCCAGTGTTTTTGGCAACGATCTTAAGAGGTGTCAGATTTCTGTTGCCCGCTATATTGCCAGTGGCCTTGGATTTGGTTGATTTTCATAAGAGATTGATGTGAAAGATGACACCCACTGTGATTCATATTCACCCATTCTGACTTTTCGTCTAATACTAAAGTTGGGAAATGGGTTCTTCAGCTATCTAGGGTTTATGTCAAAAACTTGCTCTCCACTTTAAACTTTAAAATGATTGCAGAATTCCTGACCTTGAAAAACAGGCCTCTGTCATGCTCTAGTTTTATAAAGTGGTAAAATGGTAAAAGTCTTTTCCATGTTTCCTACAATTGGATAAATACGGGAAAGTATCAGATCCCAATTTAAGCATGCAGCCCACAGAAATTTTAGGCAAAAGCCCTGTTTTTTTCACCTTTGGAAATACAAAGACTAAGAGTTACATGAGGCAAATTCTCTTCTATCCCTGCCATTTCTCCACATCCACTTGTAAAATGGTTTATAGAAGGCCTTTTAAATCTCCACTTGTCTGTTCTGAGTTTCCTTGTCTAGCGCTCGGTTGCTCCCCAAAGATACAGTAAAATTCAATTTTTCCTGTCTGAGATCGAATGTATGCCCCACTTAAGCCACAGGCTTGATGAGAATAGTGTTCCTATATATTAGTTTTTATTAGGATGTCTGCATGTTGGTAGAAAAGGTATTGAGTGATTTGACTGAAGCCATTCAAACTGATCAGGCTTTACAACTTGAATATGTCTATGTGTGTTCAGGGCAGTGACGTGCAGGCAGGGAAGACAGAGCCTCACCACTGTCATCATGAAAAGAAAAGAAAAATTTAAAAGGAAAAAGGCTGAGCTAGTTGCTGCCAGAATCACCATGGACGACTCTGCTTAATGCTTAACTGTTTAAAAAAGCCTCTTTAAAAGTGCCCTCTACAGGAGGAGGCAGGAGAACCACGTGCCTCA